TTCAGTGGGGTCTTGGGGCAAATTGAAACAAAGGGCAGTGTGGTCTCAGGTACTGGAGCAGGCATTATGGGAAAAGGTATAATTTAAGCCAGAGCCTGAAAAATCAGAGTAAGGGACATTAAAGTCTCTCTGACCCATGCTCCTGACAAGGTGGAGATGTGGGAGAACAAAGGCACACTTAGGGGCAACAAGGGGGGGTGGGAACAGGGCGAGCTGGCATAGACCCAACTTTGCACTTGCTCACCTATGCCAGCTAAAGCTTCACTGCTGCAGACACACACGCAAGGCTATAAAGTACCTTCTAAGACTCTTTAGGAAGCAAAAGTGGCTACTGGTAATTCTTGCCAGGCTGCCTCATATCAGGGGACAATAATATCAGTCTACACAAGCCAGAATAGGTGTCTGAGGTACCCAAGACAGCTGAGAATACTCTGTGGTACATACCCGAAACTCACCCATAATTCCAGCACTTCCAGCACTCAAAGGCCTTACATTCCTTTCTGCCAGCTCATTTTCTGGTAAAGCCTTCCATGAGCCAAAGAAGCCTATCCCATATCATGTGAATAGCAAGTGAAATGTTAACATACTTATCAAAGGGGCTACCCTACTTATACCACATTACCTTTTCTTTTCATCTTTTGGTTTTTTGAGACAGGGTTTCTCTGTGTAACCCTGGCTGTCCTGGAACTCGCTCTGTCGACCAGGCTGACCTAGAACTCTTCGAGATCTGCCTGCCTCTGCCTCCCTTAGTGCTGGATTTAAAGGCATGCACCACCACCCCCAGCCACCACGTTATCTTTTTAAACTCTAAAATACGAGGGCCTCCAGCAAGGGCCTGTAGACATATACTTCTTAAGTACATCCTGCACTTTGGCCTGGTGGAATGAAGGACTCAGAGGGAAACTCCATTAACAATGGTAGGCTTTTAAGCAAATTATCTGCTTGGGCCCAGATGATAGAAATGCCCAGAAAACAAAAAGTACCTCATCACACATCCTGTTCCCAGGAAGAAACCATCCACAGTGTAATGATTCCACGAGACCAGGAGGGGCTGGAAGGGCTTGTCTACTGCTCCTCTGAACAAAGCATCCCTCTACCATTTTGAATGTCACTTGCCCCTTGTCCCCATGAGCAGAGGTCATAGTAAGTACTTCACTTCTGCAGAAATGTCCCTATCATATAAGTGTTACTACAAGAAAATGATGTTCATTCAAGGTCCTGCCAGTTCCGTTAAAAGAAAAACCACACGAGGAGGCATGGAGTAGCCCCTAGCCTGGCACTGCCAGAAGAGGAAGTTTCTTCACTTAACATCACAGTAGAAACTGCAGTGTCTGCTGGAAAATGTGTCTTAGTTAAAGCATGACAAAAATATCAGAAGCAACAGAGGGAAAAATATTTCCTCTTTAAAAATCTGCAAATGCTGTCATTTATACAGGAACCAGCAAGACAGCCAGAGCCTTAAACCAGACCTTACGTCTACCTGCCAGTGATCTGAGACATTTGCTTCTGCGTGCCTAGGAAGATCAAGGCTAGCACAGCTCACCAACCAAGACCCAGCCTTTGCTAAGTCACTGACATAGTTGCCTGGACACCACAGACATGTGCTTGAATCCTACCAAACTGACATAACAGGCCAGAAACCTACTGCTATCCACCTCAGGAGGAGGTCATTGTATAAGGCTTCTTTTCAAAAATAATTTACCAAAAAGTAGCCTTGTTTTTTTCTCACTGGCCCTGAGACCAGACTCCACCTCAAATGTGCTCCACACGGGGCCAAAGAAAATAATATGCCTATAAATATTTAGGGGACTTGTATAGTCTTTAGTTAAAGCCTGGGCTTTTTTTGGGGGGGGGTAGGCTAAAAGAGAGAAATAAGTTCAAGAGACTCCATTAAAGTCTAAACATTAAAGGACTGGTTTCGAAACACATGTTGCTAGGAGAGCCTACTCCATCCCGGGCACTCCTTAGTAAATATTTACTGTGTGCCTGTGCATGCGACACTTGTTCAGCTGCTGGTGACACACAGTAAAACACACAGATAAGCTCTTCCATCTCCCCTTGTGGAACTTCCACCAGCGGCTAGAAGCATGGGCTTTGGAGACAAGTTTCAGAACCCAGCTCTATGGTATATGACTAGCCATGCAAAGCAGTTAGCAAAGTCCCTGCCACACGGCAGGTTCTATTAAATGACGCACACGTGATCGCACACGTGATCGTCAGTCTGTTACTGCTGGTTGCTTTCAGAGACTTAACTTCAGTTGGCAATCACCTTGTCTGCTTGCTTATTATCTAACCCCTGCACATCCCCCAAATGTTAAACATTAACCAGTCGGCAAAGTTAACTAGAAAGAGGAAATCCCCCATAGTAACGCTAGGCGAAGGGCTCTAGCGCTAGTAAGATGGGAAAGATGCTACGGAGAGTCTTTGCTCCGAAGCAGGGTGCGGAGTCCTCAGTGCGAAGTCCTCGGAGGAGAGTGCGAACACAGAGCTGGACGTGGGTGAGGAGGCTGCCCTTTCTGTCCTCCCGTTTCCGATGATTAATGGCCTCCTGCTGAGTCTCACAAAGGGATCTGGGACCTCTCCGTTGACACGAGCACAACACAATTTGAGCAAAGCTATACTGTCTTGTCTCTTACCGGCTGACTGGCCAGCTGAGCTGGGAGGTTTCATAAGTGACCTCCACTCCAGTTTTACTCTCAGAGGCAAAGAGCAAAGGAGTCAAAAGAACCCTGATTCTCGCTGAAGTGGGGGTGGGGGGGGTAGTGCTGAACAGCTAAAGTGCCCTTCACTGTAGGGCCAGGCTCACTCTAGTCCCACACTCCAACTTCAAGATACTGACCTTGAAAGGATGACTCTGAGGATTTGCTGCCTGGAGCTCCATTCTGTGTGTGCATGTGTGTTCCAGAGTGAATGAGCACGCGCGCGCGCGCGCGCGCGCGCGCGCGTGTGTGTGTGTGTGTGTGTGTGTGTGTGTGTGTGTGTGTGTATGTGTGTGTGTGTATGAATGATCGTATGTGTGTACATGTGCACATGTGCACATGTGTTGAGGTCACAGGTCAACCTTACTTTTTTGAGATTTCCACTTGAAATTTGTTCCCTCTAAAGTAAACTGCCTCCATTCCACTGTGCCACCAAATGTGGGATAGGCCCCACTCACTCTGACCGAGTGTATTCCTCAGACCCTCCATCCCCTTCCTCATCTGACAGCAGACTCAATGTACTAAGTGCCAAGCTTAGTAGTTTTCCACTAAAGTTAAACAAACAAAATGAGAAAAAAGTTAGGTGCCACTTTGTCTCAGGCACTGACCTATGCCCTTTATGGGTATAATCTCACTCATTCTCCTAACCATCACACTAGGGAAGTTCTGTTATTAACCCATGCTACAGCAGAGACACTGAGCCCAAAGGCACAAGCTAAGATACAGCAGAGTCATGATTAAAATCTAGGCAATCATTTGCCAGGGCCCAACTCTGATGCACTCCTATAATTGGAGAGATACAGGTATGCATTTAGCCCCCATCCACAACTCAGCAACAGAATTTAGCACGGGCGCTGGGCGTCAGCCATGAATAACTAAGTGCTTTGGATATGGCAGGTTGCATCTGGATCTTTGTGAGTCCCGTAATATAAACAGAAGTACAGCATAGAAAGCTATGTATTTCAGATATTTCCTGATGATGAATGAAACAAGATCCAGTACAATCAAGAATCAAAGGACAATTCCACAATGTCCTTTAGAACAGTGTCTCACTAAGAAGCTATTTCCTCATTCTTCTGTAGACTCTAACAGCTAAAAGGATGTCTTAGAGTTAGGGCTACTCCTTCTGTGATAGAGCACTGTGACAAAGGCAACTCATAAAAAGGGCATATTTGATTGGAGGGTTAGTCCATGATCATCACTGCAGGAAACAGACAGGCATGGCACTGGAGCAGTAGCTGAGAGCTTTACATCCTGATCCACAGGCAATAGAAGGAGAGACATTGGACCTGATGTGGACTTTTGAAACCTCAAAACCCATCCCAGCATCACACCTCCTCCAACAAGGCCACACCTCCTAATTCTTCTCAAACAGTTTATCACCGGGGGACTAAACATTCAAATACATGAGCCTATGGGGACCATATTCATTCAAACCAATACAAAGGGAAAGGACGCTTCTCTACAGCTAAAGAGACACAGTCTTCACACCTACCAAAAATAGGACACGAGAAAGTGGGATCGTAGCTGAAATCCTGGAAAATATAGTTTCATCTTTGCTAACTTGACCTTCTCTTAGAGTCTCTTTTCATAAAACTCCCCATTGTAATATTTCAAGGGAGTCATCTCTGACTCATGCTAAGGAATGTTGACAGGCACGAAAACCGTGAACTTTAGTGTTCACTCCTCTAAAGGAAGGGCGAGATGATTAAATGGGATGTTATTCCCAACATCTAGGCTCTTCTAGTTCTCTCTTGATGCATCACCAGTGACTCAGTTTGCATCATACATCCAACAACTGAGTAAAACAATTCAGATCCAAATGATGATGGCTCATAGGCAGGCTCAAAGTGACACGTGGCTCAAACATTATTCACATTCCTCTAAGTAAACACAGAGTTAACCTGTTTCTAATAGCTCCGAGGAAGGCTTTCGTGTCCATCTGTTCCTCCTAACACATTGCTAGACTAATTTATCTATGTCCATTGTCGTTAGCTTGAGCCACTTGGTTAAGTTCTGACCAGTAGAATGTGGGTAAGATGAGGCACATCACTCTCAGGCTTGGTCCCTGAAATCTGTAATGAGATCCTCTACACAGTTTCTATCCCCTCATCCCCTCTATCAGTCGCATAGAGGATCCTAGAGAAGACTCTAAGCCCTCTCCCCCATGGAGTAAAAAGCAAGCATCGAAATAGAGTGCACTTCGTTACTGCAGTTAGCATTTACCATGCTGACAGATCCAGCTTGCTTGGTCATGACCATGCTGTAGGGAATCGGTTACTCTGTGGCTTCTACACCTACCTGTGTCATTGCCAATGCAATCGATGATCAAACAGATCCCTAGGGGCTTGCTCTGCATCCTGTAACTCTCTTCGTATATGTGCTAGAAAGAAAGGTGGGCATAATTAGAGATGCTGGGTACCTCTCTGTTCCCTTAAGATCTTGCCCCTCTGCCATTTCTTCTTTTGGACTGCCTTAAACATCCCTTTGGCAGGTGAGTCACTCAATAGACGTGGCCTAAAGTAATCACAGCTGACATTTTCCATTAATGTCAAATTTTTCCTCCGTTCTGATAATGTGCTGTTTCAGTTCTCACGTAATTTTAATGAGAATTGCCTCATCTCTTTACATGTGTCTTAGTTTTGCAGAATAAAGATAATTTGAAAGAGAGAAGAAAGATGGGTCATGTGCCTTCACAGACACCTAAAGTAGCAACAAGAGACACCTTTCTAAGCCACTACAAACAATGGACTTCCACTGCCTCCTCTGCAGAGGACATTGCCAACCCAGACGAAAGCTGGGGCACAACACAGTTCAGCGCAGCATCACTGCCCACTTGTGTGTTCAGTAGTTACCCAGCCAAGACATGGGCTGCAACTTGGAATTTCCCCAAATTCCAAAGTTCATTCATGCCATCCACCTGAACATTTGTTTTCTCTGCTATATTCAAGGTTCCTGGCCAATGAGTTCTAAGAGGGATCATGCATAGGTACCCAGTTGTCACAAAGAATTTTTCAAAAACAGTTTGGCTGTTTTATTTGTTTTTTTAGGGTGTCAGTGTTCAAGCAGATACTTGTGCATACAATACCAAATCAGAGAATTTGTTCTTTACCAGAGGCAGAAAAGCTCCTGATTCCTGGATGGATGTCTTCACTGGTTTTCCTGGGGGTTGAGAGAGAGAGAATCGTTATGGAGCAGAGCTTAGCCACGCCCATGCTGGCTGGGTTCCTTCTATCATGGCTGTTTTCTTTGTTCATCCCTTACCTACCTTTGCTTTCTCCAGCTAGGCTCAGCCCAAAGTTCCAACCTCACATGGAAGAGCCTGACTCAAAAGAAAACTCAAGAGCTCCTGTTATTCCAGGACTGTGTAGAAAAACCATGATATTCAAGTGTAAAAAGGCTCTCCCTCACCCTCCTCCAGGTAATGACCAGGTGGCTGGTGAGCTTTTAACCTGATAAGAATTCAAAAAATCTCACTTCACTATGCTGATGGCTTTCCTCCACGGGCCAAAACTATGGATAACATCTAAAGGGAACAGCTTGGAGCATGCAGGAAAGGGAAGCTTATGTATGTGTGCCATGTACAGAACAGATGGCCAATGTTTTCATAGTTCAGTGATGCTGGGAGATGATAAACTCAAATGTCAGCAGCAAGACACTGCACAGCAAGCCTGGAAAGTGGTGAGCCTACAGCAAACTCTTCTCCACAACAATGACTCAATTAGACTGCACAAGTGGGGACGTACTGGGTTCCAAAGCCAAGCACTCATGAAAGGGCTGGCTCACACCTTCGCGCTGAGCAGTTGTCATCCTGTCTCCTCATTCAATTGCTAGGCCAAGACTGCGGCAAAAGTGAGAAATGCTGTCTAAAGATAGGACAAAAAAAAAAAACAAAACCAAAAACAATCTTACCAGAATCTGTAAGGTTTGGGGGAAATGAATTGGGTTCTTGTTTGTTTGCTTGTTTTCTATCATTGTTTTGTTTTGAGTTTGTTTTGTTTCAGAGGTAGGCTCTTGATATGTAGCCCAGGCTGAGCCTGCCCCAAACTTATTCTTCTCCTGCTTCAGCTTGAGTGCTGGCATTACAGTCCAGTGCTGCCACAGCTGGCTTCAAACCAGTCTGTGTGTGTATGTGTGCGTGTTCGTGTGTGTGTGCGTGTGCGTGTGCGTGTGTGTGTGTGTGTGTGTATGCACCCACTTGTGCTTGTGCATTTGTGAATAGGCATGTGTGTGTGTGCAGGTGGCAAGCACCCCTGCTTTCACATGTGGAGGCCAAGGTTGATGTGTTTTTCTTACTCACTTTTCATCTTAGTTTTCATTACAGAAAATCTCTCACTATAAATCTCTCACTCCGTAGGGATAGATGTGGACAGGTTATATGGAAATGCTACACCCTCCTGTATAAGAGATGAGCATCTGAAGATTCTGGTACCCACAGGGAATGCTGGATCCCCTACAGATACTGAAAGACAAGTGAGTATACTTCTAGATAAAGATCAAGAGGTTTAAATCAACCCCTGGGGGTTGTAGCTCATTGGGAGAGCACTTGACCAGCACTTGTGAAGTTCTAGGTTCAATCCCCAACAGTATATTTAAAAAAAAGAAAAGAAAAAAAGCATGCAAACCAAACATCAGCTGAGTGTTGTAGTCCATGCTTGCAATCCCAGCACATTAGAAGATGATTGTTGTTAATTTGAAACCTGCTTGAGCTATGTCATGAGACCCTTTCTAATAAGAATTGACAATAGAATAAAATAAATCAAACATTAACTGCAGCTATCCCTGCTACTGAAATTAGGAGGGCATTTTGTTTGGTTTTCTTCTGTTATATCATTGTTTAACAGAAAAGAAACCCCATTAGTGAGGTTACAGATAGTACTCTGATTACTGCCCAGCCTGCTGTCCCCATGGCATGTACTCAAACAATTCTTCCTTAGACAATGTGTGTGATGCGGGGCAGTGGTGGTGCATGCCTTTAATCCCAGCACTCAGGACGCAGAGCTAGGCAGAGCTCTGTGAGTTTGAGACCAGCCTGGTCTACAGGGCAAGTTCTGAGACAGTTTCCAAAGCTACAGAGAAACCCTGTCTCAAAAAACAAAAAACAAAAGTGTATGGCACACCTATCTATCTCAGTGACACATCTGTATCAGTGCCACGCCTATCTAGGTTGAAGATTTAGAAAGAGCTAAGTGGTATTCACCAACACCATCAATCTTTCAGTAGGAACCATTTCGAAGTCCAAACTGACATGAACACATGGCTTGATTATCTTAAACTTCTTAGTTTAAGGCCAACCTAACTGAGTGCTTTTCCTTTTATTAGTGAGTCACGGCCAGGCCAAGGCTGAAAGATGGCCCTCTAACAGTGTCCCCAGGTGTTGGGAGCCTTACCTACTTGCCTGGACCAATCAATCAGCGATAGGATCACAGTGGAAAGAACACGTTTGTTTTACATTCCTAAGCAAGGATGCCGGGTCTCCCATTTTCCACTTTAAACAGCATTGAGAGTGCTAACTCTTCCACCCCACCAGTGTTTTAAGAAACAGGCTGTCACTTCAGGAATTAACTCCGTTCTCAACAGTTTTCATTGGAGAGAAGAATGCTAGCTAGGGAGTGGCAGGCGTGAGTGGCACCATCTGGCTAGTCGGGGGTAAAACGGTAAAACCGTTCTCAGCTTCCTGGAGCACACGCAGCCTGCAGGCTACACAAGCTACCCAGACAAGGCTCCATCAGGGAACCACCCCACTCATGTTGGTGCTCCTCTACTGCACACACAATAGATTCAAAGGCCCTCCATTGTGGCAAAGAGGCCTGTTCATGCTGAATCTAAACACAGGCTACCTCACCAGCATAAGGCTTAAGTCTCGGCTCTCACTTTAGAAAGGCCTCTGTGCAGGAAAGAAATGCTTTTTTAAAAAAATGATGTTATAAGCCAACCGTGCGTGGTAGCACATCCCTGAAATCCCAGCACTCAAAAGACTGAAATGGGAGCATTGTGTGAGTTTGAGGTTAGCCTGGGCTACATCATAAATACCAGCTCAGCCAGGGCTACATGGCAAGGTTCTGTCTGTAGTCATCCCCAACAAACACACAAACGATAAGAATTTAAATAATGCCGTGAGCTGTTGTTTTAAGATAGACGAGAACATATGGGTTGAAATGGACAATCTTTTAATTGCATTTCTTTTCTTTTTATGGAAGAGACTGTCTGCCCTTGAATGTCTAGTTAACCATTCTTCTTCCTGCTGCTAGATATTTGGTTTCATGTGGTTCACTATCATGGCTGAATTAATGTTTAACATATAGCTCCATTTCAGATGTACAAATGTCTCATGTCTTACAAAGACAGCCAAGGTTATGTGCTTGACAGACAGGGTGTTATTCGGGGTTAGATGAGAGAGTCAGAGAGGAACTTCGAGTGTCAGTGAATACATTTGAAGAATGTGTTTACTGCCCTTTGAGTGCTTAATTAAAATATGTGGATAAAAGAAATTAGCTCTAAAATGGAACTTTTCCTCTTTTTCTTTCCTTTCTTTTTCTCATTTTTTAGATGACAGGGTCTCACTATGTTGCTAAGTAGACTGGTCTTGAACACCTGGGCACAAGAGATCCTCCTATTTCCGTCTCTCAAGCAACTAAATCAATAAGCAGGGACCACCAGACACAAGTGTGAATTTTTTCCTGGTACTGGAGCTCAAACCTAGGGCCTCATTCACACTAGTCAAGTGCTCTACCATGGAGCTATACCTCAGCCCCTCATACTTAAATTATTGAGCATTTATAAAGAATAGATGTAAGAGATTGATGGCCTTACTTTGAATGGCAAGGTGTTCCACAAATTTTTGTTCTTTACTTCGCCCATTCTGGAACTTCAAATATAAAAAAAGAAGGTCACACTGTTAGTTTTTTTCAGAAGCTCACTATGTTACACCTCTTTAAATAGCTCAATATTTTTACACAGGGGGGAAAAATAAAAATATCACCTTCGCGATTACCTAAAAATGAACTGCGGGGACTGTTAACTCCATAAGTTCCACACTATACTGTCGAAGATAAATCAACTCTCAGTAAGAAATGAAAACATGCCAGGCGTTGATGGCACACACCTTTAATCTCAGCACTCAGGAGACAGAGGCAGATGGATCTCTGTGAGTTTGAGGCCAGATTGGTCTACAGAGAGAGTTCCAGGACAGGCTTCAAAAAGCTACAGAGAAACCCTGTCACAAAAAGAAAAGAAAAGAAAAGGAAAGAAAAGAAAAGAAAAGAAAAGAAAAGAAAAGAAAAGAAAACATTATGAAGGTGGAACTATACTAAACTTGTATTCTAGGCTGCTTCATAGAACTCTAAGCCAGCTGTTAGAGTACAGCATGGGTGTTAGAACAGCCCCAACTTAGACCATGCTGAAACCAAGACTGACATTCCGTTATTCCTTTAACACGAAGGCAAAGTGTAGCATGGCTACAAGTGTGAGTTTTAGCCATATACTCTGGCTATGAATCCTGACTGCCAGTTCATACTTATGCAGTCTTGAGCACTCATTACCTCTCTATCTGCTTCTTCATCTGCAACAATAAGGATAAGAATAGAATAGTACCTGCCATATGTATAGTAGGGAGGTTGGTTTTTTGTTTGTTTGGTTTTTGGTTTTTTTTTTTTTTTGTTTTTCTGAGACATGGTTTCTCTGTGTGGCTTGGGAGCCTGTCCTGGAACTTGCTCTGTAGACCAGGCTGGCCTCGAACTCACAGAGATCCACCTGCCTCTGCCTCCCTAGTGTTGGATTAAAGGCGTGCGCCACCAACGCCCGGCTGTTTTTTTGCTTTTTGATGTGTGTGTTTTACATGCATGTATGAGCCTAGGTGCTCATGGAGATCAGAAGAGGGCATCAGATCATCTGGGACTGGAGTTACATGTCACCATGTTGTGAGCCATCATGTAGGTGCCGAGAATGGAACCTGTGCTCTTAAATACTGAGCCATCTCTCTAGCCTTAGCCCAAAAGGGTATTTATGGTGTTCCAATACTCACAAACACCCAGTGCAATATACCGTGCATGGAAGCACTTGATAAATTCATATACCCAAAGACCTGGGTACAATCTGCTGCGCTCCTAAATAAATAAATAAGTGAGGCCCGATTATGGCTTTTTAAAGATGTATTTATTTTATGTATATGGTGCTCTATCTGCATATAGAGCCTACATGCCAGAAGAGAACATCAGATCCCACTAGGGATGGCTGGGAGTCATCCTATGGTTGCTGGGAATTGAACTCGGGACCTCTGGAAGAGCTGTCAATGTTCTTAACCACTGCGCCATCTCTCCAGCACCCCCCCCCATTATAGCTTTTTAAAAATTTATTTCTGAGCTGCAAGATAAGTGATATGTGGGCATGATTCTTGACAATCTAGAATTCTGCATGAACCCCTCCTGAAACACTGAACTGACCTCTCCTCTCAGATGACAGGACCTGTGTAAGATGACACATCTCTTCCTATCACCATCTGACCACTCATATCTCAACAACAGCTGATCTCTGTAGCTATCCTAACCAAAGAAAGAAGTACATTATCCATTAAGCTTCATCTGAGGGACAACTGTGCATAAACTGAAGAAAGATATGCAAGCTATGGTTCCCCCCAGGAATAATCCTGATTTAGTCAGAGCCTGGTAATCACCGACACCCAAACCAGATGCACACTCACTTTTACTTGCTATTGAAAAGGACCAAATCAAAGCCAGACTTTAAAAGCATGGCAGTGCAGCCAGGTAACTTTTTGATTTTTTTTAACACCTGAGATTCTTGTGTCAGGCAATGCCATTGTCACTGGTAAGGCACTTTTGTAGCCTTGTATGAGACAAAACGTAGCCATGTAGCCAGGCAGTGGTGCGCACACCTTTGATCCCAGTACTTTGATCCCGAGTTCCAAGACAGGTTCCAAAGCTACACAGAAAAACCCTGTCTCAAAAAACAAAACAAAACAACAACAACAACAAAAAAAACATAACCATGCAGTTCCTAAATATTGAGAGAAAGCTTCCAGGTTCATATATCATAGTGCCTGCTTACTATATGAGAGATCAAGCCACGTGCTAGTTACAGCATGTACAAAGAGAAATGAAGCACATAGCATTTTGGATCCAAGCAGGCTACATGGAGAGTGAAGATGCCTGGCTGTATTTGCAGAACAGAAACACAGTAGTGAAAATATAGAAGGATTTTAACTAAGATAGTATAAGTTATAATAAACAGGTAGCGGGAGAAAGAGCTCAGAAAATCCTGAATCTGGGTTGTCTATGACTTAGTATATCGGAGACTGGAAGGACAAATTAAAAATTATACCTAAGGCCAGGCAGTGGTGGGGCACACCTTTAATACTAGCATTTAGGAGGCAAAGACAGGAGGATCCCTGCAAGTTTGAGGCCAGCCTGGCCTACAAAGCTACACAGAGAACCCTGTATCGAAAAACAAAACAAACAAAAAAACTGTACCTAAGCAATGAGATGACTGTATAGATATATCAGGAGACAGTGGGATGAACAGAGGCTGGGCCTGGCGGGGCCTGCAGGAGGTACATATACTTCCTGTGCTTTACACATACATGTCCTTATTTTGGTCAGTGGGTGGGGCAATACAATCCTTAGCAGCCATTTAATTTTGCAAGTCTGTTGCTCAGTAGTACCTCCTATTGCTAGTGCTTTCCAAGAAACTGCTTATAAAATAGGAGTTCTCATGATACACGTTTATAGAAGTGTTTATAATTCAACCACAAAACTGGACTCTAGTCTGTGTCCACCTCAAATTCTGCATAACTTTAAGTGGGGTTAGGTTGATATTATACCAAGGTTCTTCTCACGATAAAGATTAACCAGGGAAGAAGCCCAAGATGATCTGTGCTCCTTGGAGTACAACCATAAACAACCATGTGACATTTATGACCATTAACTAGAAAAAGAAATCTTTTGCTCCATCACTCAATTAAAAAAAGAAAAAGTTTGCCAATTTTTAAATTATTAAGACACAGTAAAAAGGCAAAAGGAAAACTGGAGAGGTGGCTCAGAGGTTAAGAATGCTGACTGCTCTTTCAGAGGTCCTGGATTCAATTCCCAGTACCCACATGGTGGCTCACCACTGCCTGTAACTCCAGTTCTAGGGGGTCTGATGCCCTCTTCTGACCTTGATGGGCTCCTGAATACATGTGGTATATAAAAACTCATACAGGCAGGCATACATGCACACACATAAACAAAAATAAAATGTAAAATATTTTACATTATATTTTAAAAAAGAAAATGCACAAAGAAGTAAGAATCAGAACATTTATTTTACAGCATTGTTTCTAGTTAACAAAATAACAGAGGCACTCTATAAATCATCAAAAAAGAACTAAATACATTTTGGTGTGTGTGGAAAATGGAAGCCATGAGCCTTCCTGGCAGGACATGCCTATAATGTCAGCATTTAGGACGCTGAAGCAAGAGGAGGGTCATTGCAAGTTCAAGGCCAACCTGGGCTACATATTGGATTCCAAGCAAGGCTGTGTTACAGGGTGAGATCTCATATGAACTTTATGGTACAATGTCTAAGAATTACTGTATGTATGTAGACCATCTCTGCATGGTCAAGAAACTGGGACATGAGTATTATGGGGTAGGAAGAAAACACAATTTTAAAATCTCTTTGGGGACATTTAAGTTTTTCTCTCTATAGGTACATACTATCTACTTTTATTTTAAAAGTGAATCTTCAAAGAAACAAAAAATGAAAAAAAAAGTCCAATATATAAATAGACACATTTACTAATGCACATAAGAGTGAGAGCAAAAGGAAGTATCCCAAAATATTAATAGTAGTAATACCTAGTAACAGACACATTATTTTAGAGACAGGGTTTCCCTGTGGCTTTGGAGGCTGTCCTGGAACCAGCTCTTGTGGACCAGGCTGGTCTCAAACCCACAGAGATCTGCCTGCCTCTGCCTCCCGAGTGTTGGGAATAAAGCCGTGCGCCATCACTACCCACCAGCTGAGCATTTTTTAAGGTTTATAATCATAAGAAGTTGCACACATTCTTAATAAAATACATGTCTACATAATTTGTTCAGCTTTTACAACACATGAAATGAGATGCACACTTTTATTACATCTCTGAAACCGGTTCATGCTAGCACTCCGCACACTGGCTCCAGACTCACCCTTGAACTATATGAAGGCTCCTTAATACTCAAGTTTGGAAGAGAAGCCTGGAAAGAGTTCATATAATTTGATCCTACTCCTTGGCCTGTAAAGACAGAGAGAGGGGCTAAGGTCCATAAATTGTCAAGTGAGTCTTCAACAATGCTTCAGTCCCAGTCGATCGTCATCTTTCAAAACACCTTAGACCTGAACCATCTGAGTTCAAAACATCATCAGCTCAGATGACTTCTGCCCATCAGCAAAAATGACTAACAGGATGGCTGAGCTGACTCAGTGGATAAAAGCACTCGCCACCAAGTCTGACAACTTAATTTCCTCCCACATGGTGGAAGGAAAGAAATGACTCACTCCCACATGGCATGTAGGCATGCATACATGTGTGTACATGGGCTCGCGCACACACACACACACACATACACACACACACACACACACACACACACACACACACACACACACAAATAATATATGAGCATGTTTGTAAATTAAAAAGAAAATTAAGGACTATTCCTATTTCTGATTGTCATTCAGAATTATAAGCAAGTTTCTGTCATGATCTTTACCCTGTGACCCTATGGTAATAGTGTAAGGGACAAGGCCAAC